CAATATCCTGTTGTAGCTTATGGTGAAAAAGATATGAAAACAAATATATGTATATTCATGTATGACCGAAGCACTGTGCTGTACACCAGAAACTGACACAACATTGTAAACTGACTATACTTCAATTAAAAAAAAAAAAAAGACAAAAAAAAAAAAAGAAAGAAAGAAAGAAACCAAGCTCAACCCAGATTAGCGGAAGGATTAGCCAGCTACCACAATTGCCAAGTGCGGGCGTGGCTGGACCCAGGGCTCAGCCTTGTCCTCAGGGCTCTGTCTTTCCAGCTTGGCCCTCCTGTGTGGGGTCCATTTTCTGGCATTCAGCCACCCTCCTGGGAAGAGAGAGGCCCTTGTTTCCACTGCTCTGGCAGGACAGTCCCAGGCCTGGGTTGGCTCCTGTGCTCTCTGCTGAACCAATCACTGAGGTCACGGGAATGAAATCCCTTGTTACCTGCCCTGGGCTTCACATCCAATTCTGGGGCCAGGGTCAGCCCAGAATTGGGGGTTCTCCACAGGAAGGGCTGCTGGACCAACACTATTTTGTGTGTTGAAGCCAGCAGAGTTGTAAGGAGCATAGCCTTGGGGTCCAGGTTACCTTCAACCTGGCTTTATCTCCTACTAGCTGTGTTACTTTCATCTCCCTGTTCTTCAGTTTTATCATCTGTAAAATGATGATAATCTACCACATAGGGCCATTGTGAGGATTAAATGAGTCAAATGCTTAGAACAGTGCCTGGCCTGTGGCTGAGTGCTATGTGAGTGTTAGCGATCACAGTGATTATTAGGACAGAAGGGTTCTGCAGAGCTATGTGCCAACGACAGACTTTCCCTGCTTGCTCCCAGCCTTCCTCTTTGCTGTTGGCAAATATGCCTGGCAACACATCTCTGCAGGTGGGACCCCAGACATCCAGGTGCTACTGCAACTGGGCGGAAGGTCAGGGCTGTACACTCAGGGCTGAGGAGTCCAACGTGGAGAGAAGTAGGTACACCCCAGTTCTGGCCAGAATGAGGAAGGAAAGACCTAGAGACAGGCGCTGGGGGAAATGCCCTGTTTTACAGGCAAGAGGAAGCAATTCATAAGACACAGAGCCATGAGCAAGTGGGAGTGACCCGGCCCCACAGGGGCACATGGGCCACCATGTTGAATGGATAAAAATTGAACAACTATTAAATTATGGAGAGAGATAGTTAGTAGGGACAGAAGGTGGTCTGTAAGGGGAAAAAGAATGTGCAGTCGTCAGGGTAACAGGGTGGCTGTATGCGGAGTACTTGCTGGTGTTGAGAATTGAGGCCCAACAAAATTATGAATTCACTCCAACAAAGCTGGCTCCTCCTCACCCCTTCTTGTTTATATGTTAGAGTTAACATCAACCATCAGTGTTTCTCTGTGATTACCAACCATCTTTTGGGGTGTGTGTCCTGCCACTGAGAGACTGGCCAGTAAGCAGAGGTTCTGCTTAAAGAAACATTTAGACTGGTCTAAGAGCCATGGGGTAGATGTAACATCCTAACACCTGAGCCCGGCAGGAGCATGGCTAAAGGAAGGCCAGTGACAAGTCCTGGCAGATGGCAGAGGAACACTGTGCCTTCCACCCATGGGGGGGGGGACACTGTGATGGGCCGCCCAATCCCCCACCAATGAAGGACGTGTTCCATTAGCTCAGTGCTGTCAGTGGACAACCTTCAGCACCAGCCCCTTTTGAGAGCTGCCTTGCCCAAGGTCATGCCTCCCAAGTGGCCCAGTTCAGTAACTGGTCTACACAGGAGTCTAAGGCCCCAGTGTCCTAGGCCAGTGTGGGACAACTCTAGGACCAGAGTGCTGCCCATGGGGCTGACCAGAGTGATATGGGGTCTGCATCACAGGCTCCATTCCCCATCCACCCACTCTGGCTTCACTCTCCTGGCTCAGCACCTGCATCCCGGAGAACCCAACCTGTGACCAGAGGCTGTTGTTTTTTCCCATCTGAGATGTGTGTGTGTTTGTGGGAAAGGAGGGGACTCCAAGTTCAAAGAATGGAAAAAGTTCAAGAACTTTTAAAAAGTATCTTTGTTGTAAGAAAAGTTAGAAATGGGAGGCCACTTAGAGAACAGTAAAAAGAAAAAATTAAATCTCTGTCACTGTTTTTACGTTTTGTGAGAACAATATTGTTGTTTAGACTATGGCCACTTGGCTAATTAGTTAAAAGTCAGCATGTACTGCAGTCAAGTTTATAGGGTTGTCTGGGTGAGGCAGATTCTTTCCAGGAAATAGTGTCTCCAGAAAGAGATCACGGATAAGAGCAGTCCCCTCAGCCAGGTGCGATAAAATGTGGAAGTAAACTGAGCTCTTAAGTATATATTTAAATATTTAAATGAAAAACTGGACCCTCTGGTCCTGGATCTTGAGCTTCCAGTCCCTAAGAATGGGAAGGCGCCCTCTGCTGGCAGGAGGGCACACTGCCTGCACCAGGAGGGCCCCAGACCGCATCTCAGCCGTGAGGACGCACACTTGAGGATTTGAGAAAACAGTTTCTCTACTCACAACACTTCTGACACCAAATGTATGAGTTTTCCACACCAAGCAATGCTCCAGCCTTTGCGAACACCACCTGGATCTCCTACTATTCAATTCTGACACTAGCTACCTGGAGTCAGCACAAACCCCACAGGTTAAGGGCTCACTCCCACAAGACTGTCCAAATTGCAAGCAGTGGGTCCCCAGGTTACCCACACTTCTGTCCAACTTGGCTACAAATCAGGAGTTCCCATGACTCCCTCCTCAGGTTGGATAATTTGTTATAACAGCTCACAGAACTCAGGGCAAGAAACTCACAGTTGCCAGTTTATTATAAAGGATATTATAAAGGATACAGATGAAGAGGTACAATGGTGAGGTCCAGAAAGAGCTGGAGCACAGGACCTTCTGTTTCTGTGGAGCTGGGATAGAACGCCCTCCTGGCACATGGATGCATTCACCAATGCATTCACCAACCCACAAGTAAACTGCACCCCATTGTTTAGGGGGTTTATAAAAGTTTCATTATGTAGGCATGACTGATGAAATAAATCATAGGCCACTGGTGATTAACGCCATCTCCAGGCCCTCTCCTTGCCCCAGAGGTGGGAGTGGGGCTTAAGTTCCAACCCTCTAATCCCATGGTGGTTCCTCTGGTGACTTCCTCCAAGAGTCCCTTCCTAGTACAACTCAGGTATGGTTGAAAAGGGCTTATTATGAATAACAAAAGAGGCTTCTCTCACCCCTACCATTCAAGAAATTCCAAGGGTTTTAGAAACTCTGTGCCAGGAATCAGGGGCAGAAATCAATATATATTTCTTATTATGTCACAGGGGTTCAGAACATAACCCGAGATACCACCAGCTGAGCTGACTCAGGCTGGAAACATCCCTAGGAAGCTTTTAGGAACAAGGGCAGGAGGGCAGAAGGGCAAACACCTTCCAACTGGAGTAGCTGCTGGAGCCTAACATCATGGCAATATTTGCATAACAGTGCTCCAAGACTCAGCTCCAGAAGGCCCAGCGTCCTCTAAGAAGGACCCAGCCAGGGCAAAGGCCTTCAAGGGTAGGGCTTGGCCGTGGAGTCTCTGGATGGGATGTATCCTTTGAACCTGCACTATGGTCCTAGGTGAGGGCCAAATCTCCATTTCTTCATCTATAAAATACCTCCCAGGGATGCTAGGGTCAAGAATGCATGAAAGAAAGAGAGAGAGAGAGAGGAAGGAAGGAAACAAGTAAGCATTTAACAGTAGGTGTGTAACAAATGTCAGTTTTCTTCCTTCCTGAGGGTTTTCTGCACTGTCTATTATTGGTCAGAAGTCTCTTAACTGGAAATGACAAAACCCCACAGATTGATGGACTGGGCAGAAAAGGGCTGGGAAGGAACTGGCTTTGGAGACACCTGGTGTCAGGGACTCAAAGCTGTCAGGGTACCTCCATCGCTGTGTCCTCTACCTCCCATGGCAACTCTGCCTCTCCTCCAGGCTTCTGCTCCTTGTGGGGGATGTGGCTCCTGGAGGCTCAGGCCCACAGGCTTGCACTTCTAAGACCAAGAGGAAAGGTCTGTTTCCCTGCTCCAATCTGATAAATCCCAAGGGGAGGGACTCCGCTTGGCCTGGCCTAGATCACATGTTGGAAAGGCCTCCCTCGTCCAGTGTGCCTGGTACCTCTCTGAGCAAGCAGCTCTGAGCACCCTGAGCCACGCCCCTCTCAGAGAGGGGAAGGAGGGAGCCAGGCAACTTGTCCTCTCCTGGCTCCCCTGGGTCTCCCACTGTACATGGCATAGCCCTGTATCTGAAGGCTCCCCAGTAGATAAAAGGTCGTCTTTCAAACAAAACCAGTCCAAGACTCCAGATGAGGTTGGATGTTTGCACAAGGCCACACAGAGCCCAATCCTAGGGCTCGAAGCCCTGGGGAGTGTCCACCACCACATGCATAAGCTTGTCTGTGAATATTCTGCCTATAGTCAGAACTTTCCTTAACAATGTGCCTTGGAAAGATCTGAGGCATTCTGAAGTGTTCTCCCTTCAGTTCCACAGACTAAAATTTATTCCTTTGGATCTCTGAATTTTAAACATCGATCAATGAGAAAATAGGATTCACCTAAACACCTGGTTATGTTTCTGATCACCTGCATTGTATTAGTGCTTGTCAAAAGCAGTTTTTGATGAGGAGAAACACCTCCTACAGACGGCCTCCACCACCCTGAACGTGAATAAGGACAACTGAGGTCCTCTAGCGAGAAGTAATAGTTAGGATTACCCTTGGCCAAAGATGGGTGGGGAAGGGCCTGGTGGCAGGTGGCTGCGGGCCCCTGAATGATTCTGGGTGTTGGGATGCAGCTATGGTGTAAAACAGAGACGGGCAGGGAGATGCAGCAGCCTCAGAACACCCATGCCAGAAACTATGCGAAGTGGTCAGGTAGGCCCCTCCCTCCCCACGCCCACCACCCAGGGGTGGCTTTGCCAAACCACACCCGGCACTACATGCATAGAGGTGAATGTCACAGCACAGATGCCACGGGAAGGCGCAGGAGTGGAGGAGGAACCAGGGATCGGAGCAGAGTGGCGTGAGCAGTCTCCTCCCCCAAGGCAGGTGGCCAAGCGGGGCTGAGATGTCCTGGGCGACTGGAAGGGAGGGGAGTGGAAACGCCCCATGCTGCCACCTGCTCCTTGTAACCAGAGCAGGAGCCCAGGTTGGGGCCTGGTGAGAAACGAGACTGGAACTGAAAAGGGACAGTCAGATGGGTGACGGTGAACAAAGGCCTCTCTCTGCGAGAGAAATCCTGGCTGGCTGCGGGGTGCGCTTAGGCCACCCCGGGGCCCTCGCCAGCCGGTCCGAGGCCAGGCGGCGCCGTTTCCTCCGCCGAGGATGGTCCCCTTCCGTCTCGGGGAGGAGCTGTTCCGGGATCGGGGCCGCCGCCCCGGGGCGGAACAGAGGGCGCGGCCTGGCGGGCTAGGGGCGACGGGGACGGAGTGGCCGGGCGGGGGCATCCTCCGCCCTGCCCAGTCCGGCAGTCTCCTCGGCGACGGCGACCTCACCGCGCAGGCGGGGAGAGCTGGAGGGAGAGTCTCTGCCGGTTGCTACGCAACGGCCCGGTGACGTCAGGCGATTGAGTTTGGTTCCCAAGGTAACTGGCCGGGCAGCTGGGCCGGGAACTATTTGTGTCTGTCCCCAGAGGGTCTGCGGAGCCTCCGGGGTCTGGCGCAGCTGAGGAAATGCGCTCTTGGCCCGGGGGCAGGCGGGGGACGGAACACAGAGGCCCTTTCAGCCCTCGGAGGCCCGTGACCCAGGCGGGGCGGGGTCTGCGCCCAAAGCAGGACGCCCCTCCTCCTCTCCCTGCCGCCCCGGTTTTCTCCCCACTCCTGCTGGGGAGGCCCCTGGACCTCCAGGCTTTGTCCTACTTGTAAACGCTCTCCTGGGTAAGCTCCTGGAAGAAAAGCGCTTCTGTTTGTAGCAGCCCGGCCCGCACTGTCACCCTCACTAGCACACAGTAGGCTCTCATGGGACTCTCAGCACGGCCTTCCCATGGGACTGTGGACATTTGCTGCCCTTTCAGAGCTGCGAGACGCCTCCAGCACTCAGAACCCCTTGTCAGGTTCTCATCTCCAGAGCCTCCATACCTGTCCTCCCTGCCCTGGTGAGCAGATCGGCTTTATAATTTGGAGGCCACAATGCAGAAATAAGATGAGAGGCCCCTTGCTCAGAAATGACTGCAGGACAAGGTAGGGAACAGGCCTCAGTCCTGCCCACTAAGAGTAAACTGCAAGAGACCAAAAGTGACAAGTACTTGTGTAAACAAACTGAGGTGGCATCAGTCACAGAGGAGAGAGGGTAATGTTCGAACCAGGAGTGGAATAAGGTGAGGGACAAGACACAACAGGAGCAGGAAGAACATCAGGTGTGCAAAGACACAGCAATGACCTAAATTTGGGCCTGAGTGCTGGCCCCGGCCCACCTGGGGGACCTCTCAGGACTCGGCACTGTAACTGAGTCTCAGGACTTAAGGGAGGTGGTCTATCCAGGCCTCTCAGGCTCCTCCTTCCTAATGGCACCTGTCACAACAGGGTTACATCCATGCCTCTCACAATCTGGCTCCCTGGAGCCTCCCCCTGCCCAATGGCTGGACTGGGGACACAGATATCTGAACCCAGGCCACAGAGAATGGGCCCAGCATCGACATCCCAGACCAGCTGTCGGCCCAGGAGCCAGGGCGTGCTCCTGCTCTGCCTGTGCTACCCAACCAAGGCATCTGCCCCATCCCTGTGAACAGTCTGACAGCTGACCAGGGGCTCAGAGGGCAGGAGGCATCTGGCATCTCACGAAGAGTAGCCCAGGAGCTGGCTTTCCCAGGCAGTGACTCTCCACAGTCTGGTCTCAGTTGAGAAAAGTCGCCAGCCCTCATCTTCTCCTCCCCTCTGGGTGAAGCAGGCTCCATGATCCCAGTCTCACATATAGGACCTGTTTAAGTATTCATCCAGGCCTATCTCCTCCCTGCCGCCCCCCAATTCCTCAGTGTCTCCAATATGATCCCTCGGGAACAGGCCCTGGGCCTTGGAACCAGAGCTGGTGAACAGAACCAGCAACATAATTTATGGGGCCCAGGGCAGAATGAAAATGGAAGGCTCCTTGTTAGAAAAGTACCAAGACTGTCCAGTGACCACAAAGCACTAAACCAAGCATGGGGCCCTGTGGAACAGCAGAGGTTGCAGGCTCATGAAGCCAGCCCAGCTGGTGCGTCCTCGACACCAAGCAAGCCTCCTTCCTCAGCACAGCCCACCTGTTCCCTCTCAGGGTCTATCTGCTGACCTCTCCCCATGGTGCTGCTAGCTGCTTTCTGGACCACTGTCCTACCCATCCATTCTGCACAATCTGGGCATCCAAGGAGGCCCACCAGATATCACATGGTGGGGGGCGGGGGGGGATGTGCCTAGTGCTTTTTAGTCAAAGAACCAGAACCACAGAACACTTCCAGAAATGATCATTTCTGCAAACGCTGGATGTTTGGGTCTCTATTTTCAGCCAAAGAACATTTGTTCTTGACAAAGTATCTGAGGGTCAGCTACATAAGATGATGAACTATGAAGTATAGCGGCTGACTGATGAGAGACTTTGGCAATGACCAACACTAAAACAATATATAAGAACAAAAATCAAGGACGTGTCTGTGGCCTCCTAAGGTCTACATCACAACCATGATCCATCCCTCTCTGTCCTCAGGGAACCAGGAGAGAGAACTGCCTCAGCCCATCTGGTTCATCTCCACCCGGGGATCAGGCCCTGCAAACCCGTCTGTTGGGCTCCCTCCACCAGCCTATTTGAACCCTACCCTCCTGGCAAAGCGAGCCCCCCACCACTGTGTGGGAACTGTGCTGTCCCATCCAGGCCCCTTGCAGGGGGGAATTCCAGTGCAGGGGGTGCTGGCTGCAGACACCAGGACCCTCAGCTGTCAGCCCTCTCTAGAGATCACCTCAATTGAAGGAAATGAAACGCCTTGGCCAAAGTGAAGATCTTTACCTGTTTAAAGCATCACTTTGGCTGCGGGGAAGAAAAGGATTCACAGTACGCACCTCCTGTTCGGCACACTTTAGCCCTTTGGCCTGATTGTTAGTTTTAACCTGCGTTTGTGTGATAACCTGTCTGTTGCTTGAGGTTGGAACCCAGCCCTTAGCCCATTTGGGTCCTTAACACAGCCTTGCACTGAGCAGGTGCTCAACAGACATTTGCAGATCGATCAGCTGATACTTCTGATTCTGCAATGATCTATCGGAGTCTTGCTTCTTAGACCAGCATCAGCACCACTTGGGAGCTCATAGGAAATACAGACTCCCAGGCCCTACGCAGCCGTCCTCAATTAGAATCTGCAATTTAATAAGGCCTCCCAGGAATTCAGATATGTGGTCAGGTTTGAGAAGCACTTCTAGAGAGCAGAATACCTTGAGGGCTAGACAAGGAGGTGTGCGAGGTAGGAGGTGAGCCAGGAGGCCAGCCCAGGTGCATATTGTGGGCTCATCTGGGGAGTCTCCCCTAAGAGTGCCAGTCACCCTGAGTCACTGAGTCTGAGAAGGGATGGATTAGTAATAAAGTTAACTCTTCCTGGGTGCTTTCTGTGTGCAGAAAATGGTTTCTCAACCTTTTACATGCGCTAACTAATTTAGTCTTCACAACAGCCCTATAAAATGGTACTATTAGGGTCACTGTGTCCATATTGCAGATAGAGAAGCCAAGGCCTGGTGAGGTTGAGATTATTCCAGAATCTTCAGCAGGAACACACATTTGGCTGTACCTGGTGTTTAGGGCAGGGTCTGCTCTGATTGGTCGCTGCCAGTCTTACCGGTTATTCAATGTTTTGAACGTCACCCTGGTTACACAGCTGGATGGAGGAGGCAGGATCCAAATCAGCCCACTGTGCCCCAGCCACGCTCCAAACCACGATCCTTTATCCATCTAGCACCGTCACCATCCAGAAACAGCACACCTTAGGGACAAGTAACGTGTGTCAAAGTGCTTGTAAGTTGTTAAGTACAGTATAAATGCTAAATGGATTCCTGCGGGACAGAAGTGAGAGAAACCTGTTAAAAACGGAGAAGCTGGGTTGTCAGAGGGCAGAGAAAAGGCTGCTGTGGAAAAGCAGAATTCTCTCTGCTTGCTTAAGGTGGTAACTGAAGCAAGAAAGAAAAGCCTCCCTGCGTGGAGCCCCAAGATCAGCCACGGAGACCCTAACTTGCCAAACGCCATCAGGCGCCAAGCAGGTTAGCCCGGGCGTGTCCTCACGGACTGACCGAGTCCTCCCGATATCACCACCAGGGGGCGCTGCTCCCCAGCCTTCGTCCCACTGGACCCCACCTGCTCTCGGGAAACTAGGACTTGTTAGGAGTCCTAGTGAGCAAGCACCAGAGACTTTGAGGAGTGGAAAAAGGAGGGAAGGCAGGATAGGAGACTTATACCCCTTTCAATCCCCAAAATAGCCCTATAGAGGAGTTTTTGTTCCCATTTTACAGACAAAGAATTTGAGGCCCAAAGATGTTGGATAAGATCCCCCAAATCAAGAAGTAAGGGAGAGGCAGCAGGGTTGGGTCATTTGATTCCAGCCTCAGTTCACAAAGGGACCACGAGGAGATGCCCTTTCATTTGGCCCTGGCCTGTCGCTGGTGTACTTGCTTCTGTTGACCCTGTATTGTGAATAGCGGCTAGAACCCCCACCACAACTATCTTCCCACAACAGTTCCAACAGCCAGGCCTCATAAAGTCAGCCCTCTTCTTGAACAAGAACCCCCATCTGCCACCCCAACCCTGAGCAGACTCCTCATTCGGGCAGAATCCAGGGTCTCCTCTGCTCCAGAATCTGGCTCTGGGCCCCCAGAACTATGTCCTACTCTACATCCCCTCCCCACAGCAGGGACCCCAGGGGTTCAGGTTTTGTCTCAAGGCACCCCAAAGCAGGCGGCAGCACAAATAAACAAGGGGACTTTTGAGCCTGCGGCTGAGTCCAAACCAGGCACCAATGTTTTTTTCTCAGTCCCACCAACTCCTTTTATGGCCTCTGGGTCCAGTTCCTTCTTCATAATAAGTCATAACTGGAAAAAGCCTCAGGAGTCACAGAGTCCAACTCGCGCCAACACTTTCCTTTTCTAAAGAAAAAAAAATAGTCCTTACGCCGGGTCTTAGGCAGGTTTGTAAAACAAGGACAGGGCGGGCAGTCCTGCACAGGAGGGAAACGCCAGCCCTGGGACGAACCCTGCGCACGCACCTGTAAAGGGGGCCCTAACCTCAGCATTTTCTAAGACCCCCTACCCAGCTCCTGAGGATCTGTCACTAGCCCCGGGGGCTGCCTAACGAGTAACTAATTCGTCCCCCTCCCCGGGTCGGACGCTTCCCTTCTGTCCTGGGAGCTGGGGGCAGCTAGCGTGTCTGGACGCACGTGCGTGGAAGTGATCATGTGTGCAGGAGCCTGTGAGCCGCCGCACACGCGTCCGCGCCATTGCCGGGGTCTGTGCGCGCCCCCTATGGGCCAGCCACCACCCGCTGCAGCAGCTGCCAAGTGGCCGTGTGCAGCGTCGCGTGTACCCGACGTGCGGCAGCCTGGCTACCCTCCCCTCCCGGTGGAGAGCACGGGGCGTGCACCGCGGGTGGGCCGGCAGGCGCTCAGCACCAGGAGCCAGGGGGTTTCTGGTTCTCGGCCCTCAGGCCTTCCCTCCCCGACCGGTATTTTCTGTTTTCGCGAGCCTCCCCTCCGCCCGCGAGGAGCGCTCCGGGGCGGAGTCCGGCAGCAGCCCAGTCCGGGCTGGCCGGCGAGGGTGGCAAGGCTGCTGGCGCGCGCCGCCCCTCCCCTGCCGCCCCCGCCGCGGCGCCCCGATGGGTTTTTCCATGACTGCATCCGGCCGCGGGCCGTCTTTGTTCCCGCCGTTCCCGGCCGTGCCTGCAACCTGGCCCGCCTCTCCCCCGCGCGCCGGGGTTTTTCCAGGGCTCAACTGGAGCCTGGCGGAGCCCCTCCCCGCCTCTGGCTCCTGCGTCCTCCGCGGGACCCCGAGATCCCCTGCGGAGAGCCGAGCTCTCTCCATTCGCACCGCTCCGTCCGTCCTGTCCCCGCCGCGGAGGCCTGCGGCACCCCCCCCCCCCAGCCCCTATATTTGTGCGCAAAGTCGACCGTCACCCAGTCCGAGCGCCTCCGCGCTTCCTGAGGCGCTTTTGGCGCCCAGACTCCTTCCCGGGACTGCACGTTGCGGGGCGGGGGTCAGGCGGGTGCAGTGTCTGCAGAGCCCGGCCGCCTCTACCTCCAGCTTGTGTTCGGGCCTCACGTTTCTCCCGAGGGGCAGCCGGCGCAGTCGCGGTTGGAGACCCGGTCGTCCCCACCGCGGAGGGGCACCCAGGCGCGCGCGCTCCGCTCGGCACAACCTGAGATCGTCGTGTGTCCCCTCTGCGCACGGGCAGCTGCCAGGCAGAACGCACCCGCCCCCACGGGAAAGTGGGCACATTCTCGGGCAGTAAGCACCAGAGCGCGGGGGGCTCCTCTGTGCTTCTGGAATCCGCTCCCCGCCGTCAGGAAGGAAGGGGAGATAGGCAGGCAGAAAGGGGGAGGTGGGAGATACGGGGACGGTGTTCGAGAGAGTGAGGACAGGCACGGGATCCCCATGTGCCCCGTGGGGACTGTCTGCAGCTGGATCCTGTCCGCGCTAAGCTGCATTCATTTTGTACATGTCTGCGCACCAGCGGAGACTCCCAGCTATTACCTGGTCATGTTGGCGGGAAAAGTGTAAGAAATACTGCTTCCGAGTGAGACTTCCTAAGCCCTCCTAGAGAAGCCAGACTCCTAGGGTGGCCTCCAGACTGGTCCAGGGGTGAGTGGGGCGTCTGGGCAGAGGAGGGGGTCCTGGATTAAAGGGATGTCTGGTTCTGTGGGGGATTTGGAAGCCCTGGCGGGTCCCCTCCCAACAGCCGCACTGGAGGCAGCCTCAAATGGCTAAAGATCCGTTGGTGAGAGTGGAAGAAGGATGAAGGGTAAGGCGGAGATAGACGGAGGCCCAGAGCCCTCTCCCGGAGGGGAGTGGGAGGGAAAGACCCTAGATCCTTTTGAGTGCCACCGTCTTTAGCCCCTCCCAGGCGCATTAGCTTGTTTCCTAAGTAGGAACGGGGGATCCCAGCTGTTGTGAAAGGGCGCTTTCTCCAAGTGCATCTTTGTCAGCTGTGCCTTCTTTTTCTGTATTCTGACCCCTTCCCCTCTTATCTGCTCTCAGAGGTTGAACTTTGTCCACCCCCACCCCCCAAGTCATCCCAGTGCCTGGAAGTCTTGGTCCCTGAGCTCCCTCCTGCTGACAGGCTAACTCAGATGCCCTTGTCCTTGTGGAGTTGATGGAAGGTTCCAGGAGCTAAGACAGAGCCCCTTGCCCTGCCCCAGCCCCTCACATAAGGGGGACTTTCACTGAGATACCAGTTGTCCTCCAACACCAGTCCCCACCTTGCCATGGCCACAGACCTTCAGTGTGTACAGCACCTCACCCAGTACCGCCATCTAATAGGGACAGTCAGACAGGCAGGGCCTCCCAGACCCACCTAGAAATACTGAAGTGAGGGTAGCTGTAAGCAGGATGCAATTCAGTTTCCAAAATGATGGCTTCTCCTTTCTTTTCCCCACACCCTGCACAGGGGTGCGAGTCATGTTTAAGCTCTTAGTCAGTACTAGTGATTCAAATGGTAAACCACCCGGTTTCTACTTGTCTTGCTTGGCCAGGGTCAGCAGTGAGAACAGCAGGTTAGAAAGAGAATCTCCTGGTGTGTCCTGTTTGCTTTTCCTCTGTCATTTGTCTTATCCACCACTTACCTTCAATCTCCATGTTCTTGCTCACATTGAGAATCTTAATCCCTGGCCTTAACCATCATCCCTCAGTTTTCTCATCCATAAAATGGGGTTAATAGTGGTGGCTACCTCCCAGGGTGGTTATATGGGTTAAATGAATTTATATGAGTTTAATATATGCAAAGAGGTTGGTTTATAGCAGATACTAAACAAGCATTTGCTGTCTTTATTGGAAGTTAAGCGACTTATCCAAGGTCACACAATCAGTGGCTTGAGCTTGATGTCAACCCAGGTCACCTGACCCCAAAGTCCAGGCTGTCATACTGTGCTAATGAAATTTTGTACTAACAGAATCGGGAAGCGGTGGTAATGTACACAGCTCGTCTGTAAAGTAGGGGGAAACAATAGGTGCTGGGGGTTAGGAAACATTTCTCCAGGGAAGAGCCACCATCATAACAGTGATGTCTGACTCAGGTCCCACTTTATAGCTGTTAAATTTGTTTTATGGCTTTTTAAGAATTATATATGTCAATTGAGAAATTTATGGCAAGCATATAATCACCCCGATGGTAGAAAACACCAGGTCTTTCTGGCAGTAATGTGAATCCTATAACGTTTCTTCATGTCATATTTATCAACTTGTCTGTGCCCAACATTGTAGTGATGCTGTGGGGGCAACGAGAGCATTCTTGGTAGGGAGAGAGCTCACTTCACTGTCTTTTTGGGGAAACAATATGAATGTCTATGTGACATGATATCCTTAATTGCCAAAAGGAGTGGTTCAAGTAACTAACAGTTACTATCCATCCAATGAGGACTTGTGGACAGATCTGAGGTGGCTCCATGATCCTTCCTCCTGGTCCTCATGCCCTGAGTATGGGTAGGAGGGAGGAGGGCTTGTTCTAACCAATAGAACAGGGCAAAGGTGATGAGATGTGTGATTGCGTGCCTGTGATTATGTTACACAAGATCAGAACAACCGTCTTGCTCAGATACCTCCTCCCTTGTTGGCTTTGAAGAAGCAGGCTGCCGTGCTGGGAATTGCCTATAGAGAGGGTAAGATACTGAGATACCAGCTAACACCAAGCAAGAAACAAGCCTCTGCTTGACACCTGTAAGGAACTGAGTTCTGCGAAAACCACATGAGCTTGCCAACAGATTCTTCCCCTGTAAGCCTC